AATTAAAAGTGCTTATTTAATTTTTTGTGTGTGTTTACATAAAGACATTTTATACTGTTGTTTTAATTTTTTTGTAAAGTTTTAAACTTTTGTTTACGAAGCGTTTTTCAAGGCAGCATGTCTGGAGTTTCAGTCTGTGTTGTGATCTGTCATTAGGTTGAAATGGACCCTAACTTAAAGCCCCCACCTCTTCTCCCACCCACCTTTAAAAAAAAATTAATAAATAGCGATCTGTTTTATTTATTGAAGAAAGGGAAATATTTTATCACAGTTTTCTTCCTGGGTGTAGGGAAACAGGACGGATTGTAAATTGTTTTGTCCCTCGGTGAGTCAGAAGCTGGGATGAAACCCTGCAATTTTCCTAGAAAGAAGACTTTAACCCTAAAGTTTGTGTTTTAGGGTTAAAAAAACAGGATTTAGAATTTCCACATGGAGACGGTGTGTGTATCTATAAGCGTGTGTGCTACTGCCATGTTTTGTCAGGCACTGGAAAGCTGGCAGGAGTCGGAAAGTTTCGCCCTCGGCTGATTTATTTTAAATGTTTCTTTTCCCACTTAAAGTAACTTACCAGGAACTGCCTCCAAACAGCGCAGGAGGTTTGGGCCGAGCGGGGCTGGTTCTGTTGAACCACTCATGTTTCGGTGCTGGTTGCTTTTTTTGGTAAACTTAACTTGAATTGGAAGATCAGGCTTTAGACTAAAGAGGGTCAGGAAGCCACATGTACTCTGTCTGGATGAGGAATCTGTGCAGACCAACCCAGCTGAGATGCTCAGCGATAAGTTTTTTTTTTTTTTTTGTCCTTTTGTGGTCGTGGACAAAGGGGGGGCTTCCTGAACCAAGGACCCTTGTGAGGGGGATTATATTTTGATTCCATTCAGGAATCTTGTTTATATTTGATTGCCAGGTACTTCCACTCATTGTTTGAAACGCCTTTCGTCATGTTTACCCCGAGTGTGTGTTTCTTGAACACACCGTGTCATAAAAACGCGCACACACACGCTCATGTCATAGGCTGTGACTCGACCAGAACACTACACATGCTGGTGTTACTACTATGCAAAATGGTTCATCGTTGTCAACTTTTTTCCATTTTTGGGGGGGAAGGGAGTATTGTTTTCACAAACACTGCTTCTTGTTGGACTAGAGGAAAGAGACTCATGTCGTC